ACCTTAACTTTAAATGTTTCCTAAATCTGCCCTCTATTTTCCTGCTGCTACCCTACACTACTTCCACATCAACTACCATTCTCTCTCCCCTGAGTCTCTGCTTCCAGTCTGCATCCTATATACTTCTCCGTCTCAACACTTATTACCCAGTATCATAAATGTTGCTTATTTGTATGTCTTTCCAAATACCCTATGAGATCTTTGAGGACAAACATGGTATGGTGGCTCTCCCTATTTTCAGCACTTATCATAATATCCCACAAGGAGTGTGTGTCCAATTAACATTTTCTAATTGGATAAATAACTCCTAGACCATCAGGTCCCAAGATGTCAGACATTTTAGGGAGTGAGATGGGTTCACCAGCAAAATTCCTGCTCACCAACCTTGATCCTGTTACAGTTACCCCTGCAAACTCATGGACTGATCACTGGCTTAAGTTTGTGCTCTCTCCGAAGCAACCCTTTCCTACCTTCATATGTATTTGGCTCTCGTGTAAGATGTTCAGTGTCTTCTTTCTCTGTCTCCTTTCAAAATCCAATGCTAGTGAAAGAGTTCATCTCTGCTCTTTATTCCCATATGTATCTGCATTTTAGGATGTTTTTTCTAATTGTGGAAGGCTACCTACCTTTGGTCCCATTCAAGAACTATGAGGCTTTGGCAACGAGGTATTTGAGTGGAGGAAAGTAGGGTGTGTGGGAGGGGAGAGACGTGAGGGACAAACTCTGTCTGCCCCCCAAATCATAGTCAGAATCTGAATGTTCTTCCTCTGCACTTGGCCAGCTCTTGTCCAAAAGCCCAGGCTTGTTTTAGCAACTGGTCTCTACCCCAAATCCTCTGTCCTGGGATATTAGCTTACTATCTGGACATGACATTTCTGCTTTAGATGTAATGGGAAGAAAACAAACTGTTGTTTTAAGACTTAGCCACAGCCTGGGCCATGTGGGTTAAGAGGAAAAGACCATATTCCTTAAGAGGACTTCTGTTTCTTCTGGGAAACCATCCTAATGGATTCATAAGAAGTAGAAACGCTAAGAAAATGTAGAGTCAGGAGAGCGAAGGAGAAGAAAATGGGGGTCCTAGGGGTGGAGAGGAGAAGGGTCTTTGTAGACAGAGGAAGACCTGCCAAGATGGTGGGAGGTGACAGTTCTGAATAAGTATGAGAGATGGCCCTGGTCTGTAGTTTCTGTTCACTTTTTATGTAAACCTAAACTACACTAAAAATCAAAGTCTATTAATAGAAAGAAAGAAAGAAAGAAAAAAAAAAAGAAAGAAAGAAAGAAAGAGAAAAGAAAAGAAAAGAAGAGAGAGAGAGAGAAAGAGAGAGGGAGGGAGAGAGGGAGGGAGGGAG